TACAGAATTTCTGAGGTTGTGCATCTTTGCAGGAGCAGAAAGTCTCATCTTTCTCCAGAGGAGCAGCTGGTGGGTTCAAACTGCCAACCTTGCAGTTCATAGTCCAGTGTTAATTGTACAGAGTGCCACCATGCTCCTCAATTCACAATAAAAAAATAAAATAATAAAATCTGTCCATTAGACAGCTGGGATCCTGGTGTGGCAATGTGGGCCAATGCGTCAGACTGCAAAGTCGATTGAACTACAAGGTCGGTGGTTCAAGCTCACCAGCTGCTCTTCGTTAACAGGGTCGCTATGAGTTGGAATCGACTCAACAGCACTTAACAACAAAAACATTAGACAACTAAAAAAAATTTTTAATGAGTCCAATGACGGCTCACATGCTGTACATGCCCTCCTACCTACATATAAAAAAGAATAAAAACATAAACATATATACATATTACGTCCAAAAACAAATAGGATAAAATAGGAAAAAACACACTACTTATAACTTTCAGAAGGGATGTTGCCCCAACCTTGAGGACAGTGTAAAGAGAATCTCAAAATGCTTTTTCAAATTAATCTTTGTTGCTTTCATTTTAAAGATCGTTAGACAGTATAGCTAATCCACCAAGATAATTTATCTCTTAGTCAAACAGGCTTCCAGTTTGGGGCTATAATATCCAAACTAGAAGAGGCAACAGTAAGGTATTCTACTATAGCACTACTCCTCCAGAGCACCTTAACATAGTGTTATCACATACATAAATAGGCAGTCTCAAGCACACCATGGACTTCCGGCGTGGTGCTGCAGGATCAGCACTGGACTTAATAACCACAGGGTCAATGGTTCAAACCCACCAGCTGCTCCTCGGAAACCTTATACAGGGTCACGATGAGTCGGAACTGAGTGGACGGAACTTAATAACAACAAGGAGTTACTAGTTTCATTTATAAGGAATGACCAATTTAATCTAGAAAACAGCTACAGACTAAGAAGGAAAAAGTAGAAAATTTAAATAAAACCCCCGTAGGAAAAGACCTCCATTCCCACAACCTTTTGGCTTGTTCTTAGTAGACATATACCTACAACTTCAAAGATAAAATACGAAACATCAAAAACTTTAGCTTCCTCCTACCACGCCCACAAATTTGCCAGCCTTCCCAACTACCTGTTCCTCCTTTCCCTCAAGTCTAAGAAGGTTGTCTCTTCCTCTTTCAGGCTAATCTGTTCACCTGTGCTCTGGAACCAACAACCTTTCCTGTCTTTCTAACAGCCTCATCCTGCCATGCATCTCTTCTTTTCTTATACCTTCACCCTATTTGTCATTCTATACTTTTTTCCTTTAGGCAACTGGATCAATTTTCATGACATCATTATTATCTATAAACGGATGCCTTAAAAAATGTTTATCTCTGGCCTAAATCACTCTCCTTAGTTTCAGATCTCTATTATTTGTTCATGTCTGATTATCTCCACTTCAAAGTCCTATGTTGTTTGGTGCCAGTGAAGTCAATTTCTGACTCACAGTGACCTCATGTTACACAGTAGGAATGTTCTTAGCTATGACCTTTACAGAAGCATATCAACAGGTAGTCCTCCCATGGAGCTGCTGGGTGGATTCAAACTGCCAATCTTTCGGTTTAGCAGTCAAGTGAATTAACTTGACTGCCCCACCAAGCTGCTTCAATGTCCAATAGGAATGAAAAAATGCAACACGTTCAAAACTAAATTATCTTGGAGGCAGAGAAGATGACGTGAAGAGATGGAGCGGCTAGGGACTTAAGACCCGGAGAGGGAGAGGAGCTGTGTGCTGACGACCGGCAGGGGAGGCAGGCTTGCAGGGTATATACCCTTTGGTTGGTTGATGATGCATGGAGGGGACTGTAACCATGGCAATGAAACGATATACGTAGGATGAATGTAAAGCTAATGTTCTCCCATGTAAACCATCACATAATTGACAATAAAAAAAAAACAACTAAATTATCTTTCTCCTATCTTTATTCCCTATCTTAGAGAATGGGCCATTTTCCACCAGTTTCCAAGCCGGAAACTTAGTTGTTATTCTTAACTTTTTCTTCCCCATCAGCTTACCAAAGCCTGTGGGTTTCATGTTCTTCATATACCTCATATATGCTTACTTCTCCCAATCTCCAGAGTCATTTCTTGATTCAGGTCCTTTTCATACCTCACTTGGAAAACTATAGCACCCTCTTGGTCTTCTTATTTCTAGTCTTCTTCAATCAAATCTCTCAGGAAGCAGCCAGAGCTATATTGCTAAAATGCAGATCTGACATGCTATTCCCCTATCTAAAATAGTCTATCATTCAACCCCTGTGCAGGGTCACTATGAGTCGCAACCAACTCCATAGTACTTAACAACAACAACAACATCATTCAACCCAGGAGACATCAAGGCAAGTGGTCGGGTCCCCTCAGGACAAATCCCCTTCCAAGACTAAGACTCAATGGGTATGTTTTTGTTACGTGCTGGTTCCGATCCATAGCGACCCTGAACAGGGTTTCCAGGGCTGTAAATCTTTATGGAAGCAGAAAGCCTCATCTTTCTCCCACAAAGCATCTGGTAGTTTTGAACTGCTAACCTTGCAGTTCGCAGCCCGATTCGTAACCACCATGCTACCAGAGCTCCTTAAGACTCAATGGGAATATACAAGCAGATATGCACTCTAACTGGTGACCACGTTGGTCACCGATAAGGAGAAGTGAGGGAAAAACAGCAATGAAGCTGTGAGCTAAGCCCTACCAGGGTCAATACACTCCTGTGAACCCAGGTGGAGACCTGGTTGGCCAAGAGTATGGCAAGACCTAAGGACTCCTGGGCCCAGAGTGAGTGACATAGCCACAGAGGATTAGAATGGAGAATGAAGCATCCAGCTGATAACAAGAGAAGGCACATGCACAAGAACAGCCACACTTGTAGGTAATACCCATTTGACCTGGCTTCAGTGGCTGGATGATCAGAACTCAACTAGAAAAAGAAAGAAGAGGAAAAAAAGTGATCTGATACAATTTGATGAACTTGACCTACATCTACATATGCAATAGCTCAAAAGAGGCAACAAATCTTTATAGGGAGGATCATTTCCACCCCCTCGATACACAGAGTAGACACAGGGATGGGCAACTTGGACATTGGCTAGCCAAAATGGAGGGGGGGAGGTGTTACAAAGGCAAGAAGTGACTGGCTTACAAGCTTTCAAGAGGGAGCCTATAAGCAGAGAGCCAGAGGAAGGTAGAATCTCCACTGAGTAGTTTCCAATCTGTCTGGGCAGGGCTGATTAAAGGAGATGGGGATAGCACTCATGTGGCACAATAGTGAATAATTGCAATCAGGACTGACTGTGAGAGTTGGAAATGTAAAAGTGGACATTTTGTAGCAAAAGGAAAGGAATAACTTTGCAGTCCAGGAGCAGAGGTCCCTGGAACCATCAAGGGAGAAGAGCGGAGTATAGGACCCTACCCAGAGAAACAGTGACACCAGAGATGGAGGAAGAAACAATGACGTGGAGCAATAGAGCGGCTGGGGACTCTAGGCCCAGAGAGGGAGAGGGGCTGTGTGCTGATGACCAGGGAGCAGGCTTGGTTGGCTGACGATGCATGGAGAGGACTGTAACCATGGCAATGAAACGATACACGATCGGATGAATGTAAACTCCCACGTAAACTATCACATAATTCACAATAAAACATTAAAAAAAAAAAAAGTCTATCATTCAAAATACCTTCAGGATAAAAGTCAGATTATTTACAGCATGACCATCTTGTTCGGGTTGCAGTTTACCTACCTAACCAACGAATTTTACATTCAAGACACAAAGAACCAAAAAGCTTGCAGTTCTCCAACTACTACACTCTATCCCAGTCTATGGTCTTTGTACATTGTCATTTGCTTTGTCTGGGACACACCTGATCATCCTCCTTTCCCTCCTCCTCTAGCTAATTCCTAATCATTCTTTATACTTCAATTATGTACCACTTCTTTTGACAAATGTACCTTGGCTACTGGCCCTCCCTCCTGACTAAACCAATGATTGCCTCAGGTCCCACCATTACATATACCTCAAAACAAAATTCATTTTATGTATGTGTCCTGGTGTGGCGCTGTGGGCTAATGCATTAAGACTTCAAAGTCATTTGAACTGTAAGATCGGTGGTTCAAGCTTACCAGATGCACCCTGGAAACCCTATACAGGTTCACTATGCGTCAGAACCGACTCGACGGCATTTAACAACAACACTGTTTACGCATTCTTCTTCACCTTCCACTGGAATGTAAGTCCTTTGAGCTCAAGGGAGATTTTGTTGACTATACCCTCAGTGCCTAGGATACAGTAAATGCTCATTTGCTGAGTAAATAAATCATTAAAAAAAATAATCATTTGCTGAGTAAATAAAACAGACAAATCTTCCAAATGGATCTATAACTTCCCTGGCCCTAGGAAAAAGTCACAGCCCAAGAGTCATAAGAGGGTGTCTCAAAAAAAGCTGATTAACATATAAGACTAACACACCTACCCTGGCTACTTTAGCTCATGCTCTAAATCTAAGGCCAACCAAAGTGAAAAAAATATGAGGGCTTTCAAATTGTGGCAAAATTTCATTATCTCTAAATTTTTTTTCGTTTTTCTAAATTCTACTTTTCCATTAACTTTTTGAAGCCTCCTCCTAAGTACACTATCATCATTACCTACAGCATTATATTGGCAATTCTCGTCCCAAAGCAGCAAAAAATTCTAACCTTGTACTAAAAAATCTTCATCTACAGAATTACTTTTGTTAAATTCTACAGTGCCACACAGTGGCAACAGAGCAAAGAGCATAATAAAGATAAAAGGAAGTTTAGGTGGGCGAGATGGATGAAACGTAAGAGAGCCTTAAGTGGCTTGTCTTCCCTGCGATTACAGGAAACATCTGTGGAGTGCTTCAGTTTATCAATTGGGAACCCAGGCTTATTTAGCAGGTTTGGCTCATTGCATCACCTGCAGGTACTTACATCACTAGGACTCAGGCTACCCAACCCATTTTCCTGTTCAGAATCCTTCCCAGACTCAGTGCCCTGAGAAGACCGGGGATGGGATGGATGGATCCAGATCTCCAGGCGAGTGGTATCATCTCCAACATGCCGGAAAGTAGACTTCTTTCCTTTCCGCCATTGGTCAGAGTTCAATTCCAATTCCTCGTGCTGCTTCTTTTCCATCTGTTCTGCCTACACAACATGCAAACACACAAGTTTAGATGCTCCGGGGAGTCAGCTGATAAAGGGCCTCATCTGTGTTTGGTGTCTAACACCTATGAAAGGTAAAGATTTTCTATAGTTCCAAAGTGACAGAGTAGCATCTACTTTGTCTCACAAGTTACTAATTCTAGCTACTAGATGCTATAGAACATGTATAACCCAAGGCCCCAGAATGCTCTCCTAAAGATCAGTTTGCTTCTGCAAAAGCCATGACTACCCAACAGCAAAGCCCTCCACTAGTCATTCCCTTGAAGACAAAGAAGCACTATGATGACGCCTGAGGGGCAGGGCCCTGATTTGAGATTCATGGTTGTTCGGGCAGATAAGTCATCTCCTGAGTTGTAAGTGGGCACTGTGTGTTGACTCTCGCCAAACAGATGTTGGCTCACTTACTTCCTATCCCTTTGAGCTAGTTGGTCTGGGTCATGAAGGCAGGCTTACGGAGTATACCCTTTGATTGGTTGATGATGCATGGAGGGGATTGTAATCATGGCAATGAAATGATATACGATAGGATAAATGTAAAGCTAATGTTCTCCCATGTAAACTTTCACATAATTCACAATAAATACTTAAAAAAAAAAAAAAAAGAAGCACTACGAGGAACACATTCTTCTAGAAGTAATGTTTCTGCCTATATCTCCTACTCACCTTTCGTTTGGTCTCTTCAAACAAGCTCATTAGGCTCTCCTTGGCAGTCAGGATACGGTTACTGGCAGCTAAACTACGCATATAGTAATATACTGCATCAAGCTTCCTCCGCTGTGGAAAGAGGCCAGAAAAACTCAATGAATCAATTCTCTGACTCTAGCCTGAAACTGGGCCCAAGGAACCCTACTCTCTCTCAGACTGCCCAAAGCTATGCAGGAGTTTCAGTACAAATAAAAAAGCCAAAATGTCATATTATGGATAGGGATTTGAACCAGTTCCTAATGATTTTGACCTCCTGATGAAAATCTTGCTACAATGTATATTTTAATTCAGTATATTTAGGATGGAAATTTAAATTCTCAGCAGGGGGTCAAACCAGAATTAACCAGTTTGAATCTCTGGATATGGGTTCATTTGTGCCTTTCCTCCCCAAAAGACAGATTCAAGCCCTAATTCCTGGTGCCAGTGAATGTGACCTTATTTGGAAATGTCTTTGCAGATATAATTAAGATAATATGAGCTCATATTGGAGAGTAGGGTGGACCCTATCTGTATCGTTGGTGTCCTTATAGAGACACAGAAAGAAGTTGGCTAAATGAAGATGACAATCAGCATCAGAAGCTAGAAGAGAATAGGAAGACTATTTCCCTAAAAACGTCAGAGTGCATAGCCCAATGATACAGTGAATTTAGAATCCTAGCTTCCAGAGCAAAGATGTAACTTTGAGGACTAAGGTGGGCTTGACCCAAGCCAGGGTATTTTCAACTGCCTAAGATGAATGTGAAAGTTGAACAATGGATAAGGAAAACTGTAGAAGAATCAATGTATCTGAATTATGATGTTGGCAAAGAATACTGAAAGTACTATGGACTGCCAGAAGAACTAACAAATCTTGGAAGAAGTAGTGACAGTATGCATCTTAGAAGGGAGGATGGCTAGACTTCGTCTCTTGTTCTTTGGACATATTGTCAGGAGGGACCAGTCCCTGGAGAAGCACATTAAGCTTAGTAAAGTTGGTGGAAAAGAGGAAGACATCCCCAACGAGATGCATTAACACAGGAGCAGCAACAACGATGGGCTCAAACATAGTAACAACTGTAATGATAGTATAGGACCAGGCAGTTTTGTTCTGTACTGCATAGGGTCATTATACATCAGAACCAACTCAATGGCACCTAACAAGCCTCCATCCAGATGATGAAAATACACAAAGTCCTGGTGTGGCACTGTGGGTTAATGAGCTGGACTGCAGAGTTGGTTTGAACCACAAGGCCAGTGGTTCAAGCTCACCAACTACTCCTCAGAAACCCTATACAGGGTCACTGTGGGTCAGAACCTACTTGATGGCACTTATATATAACAACTTTGTGGCAATTGGTTATAGCATCTATTGGAAATACACTATCCAGGAGAGACGCAAAGGCAATTAACTCATCAGATATCTTTTCTTTTGATACAATATTGTACCTTACATGCATAAGTATTCTAAGAGTCAAGTACTCATAAACCACCAAACTAAACCCACTGCCATCTAGTCAATTCTGATTCATAGCGACCCTACACAGGATTCCATGAATAAACAAGAATTCTGAAACAGAAAAAAAAAAATCTTACCAAAGCAGAAAGCCTCATCTTTCTCCTATACAGTAGCTAGTGGATTTGAACTACTGACCTTGTGGTTGGCAGTCCAGTGCTTACATTACTGAATCACAAGGGCTCCTACAAATACTCATGTTATTTTGGTTAAATGCTGTTGAGGCGGTTCCGATTTACTGAGACTTTGAGACCTTGTATAGCGTGTAAGGGGCAGCTAAAACCACCAACTATGTAGTTACCAATCAATCCATTGCTTATTCTACAGCATGACAACAGGACTCAAGTACTCATTTGTTGTCTATTTTCTCCCTTGGGCTCATAGAGAGAAAACAGAATCTCATAAAATGTAAAGGACACCCTTCGAAGACTAAGACTCAATGGAAATGCACGCTCTGATTGGTGACCGCACACATCACCGATGGGGGGAAGTGGGGTAAAAGCAACAATGAAGCGGCAAGCTAAGCCCTACAATGTTCAGTGGACTTCTGTGGACCCAGTTGGGGACCTGGTTGGCAAGCAGTGTGAGGAGACCTGGGGACTCTTGGGCCCAGAGTCAGTGGCGTGGCCACGGAGGACTCTAGAGGAGAGTGGAACTACCGGCTGACAGGAAGAGAGGGCATGTGCACAGGAGCGCCCACACTTGCAGATGATACCTACGTGACCTGGACTGGATGACTGGATGATCGGAGCTCAACCAGGAAAGGAAAGAGGGAAAAAAAAAAGAATGAGCTGATACAATCTGATGAACTTGACCTATACCTATGGAGCAGCAACTCAAAAGAAGGAACAAATCCTTACAGCAAGAAGCATTTACACCCCCTCCATACACAG